TGCTGTGCCACCCATTGCTTCTCTCTGGTCCAGTAATCTTGCTTGTCCTATGTTGATTTCAATAAAGCTTGTTCAATAAACCTCTTTCTAGTATCATTACTTTACCATGGTTTTTTATGTTATTAGATGATCAGTCATGCCACATTTACCATAATAGCGCCTCAAACGGTGGCATAGATGGAGAGAGAGTCATGCACAAAAAGGAACAGAGAGGTTCAGTATTAGAGTGATTCCGAAATAAATGTTTTTGTGATATTCAATTCAACAGAAGGTAAAGATTTCTGATGTAAATGTATATTTTATAGATAATTTTCTAAATGGATAGACAGATACCTTGCTCCCATAACAGTTTTACAACTTGTTTTAAAGAAAACTGCAGCATTGGGATTACCTTTTATTTGTTTGCTGTCACATGACTCTTTCCACATTTCACATTGTGGTGGCTCAAACTGTTGCATGTTAGAGAGAGTCCTGCACAATGCGTCATTGAGAAGACAAGGTGTAATTTTTAAAATAATACTTTTGTGATATTTCAACAGAAGAGAAATATCTTTAGAGATATCCTACATAAAAAGACAAATAATGTGTTTGTTAGATATACAAAATCAAAAGATATACTGTAATAAAAGTAGTAGAATGTTCCTGTACGAATAAATGATAATACACTAATTCGCCTCCCCATTCAGGCTTAAAGGTTAATAGTAAACTAACTGGCTTGCTGTCCTTGGACGAGGCTCGAACCCGAGGCTCGGCTTGAGCTCCGAGTTAACCCCCCCATGATGGAATAAGAGGATAGAGATAATTTACTGGAGAAGAAGGGGAGGAGGAGGGCTGCCAGACGAATTTGTCAATGGGATGACGTGGTGTCAGCTGTTTATATAGTATGCTCGTAATGATGATTGACAGGACTGAATGTTTAGGCTCCTCCCGAAACTACGTTTTGAACTTCATTTAAATGCTTTTCAACGCTCCAATTAAGTGTTTACAGCTTGTGTTAAAGCAAACAGCAGCAATGGGGTTACCTTTATTTGATTGCACATGACTCTTCTTCCCCCACAGTAGTGGCTCAAACAGTGGCATGTAGATGGAGCGAGTCCTGCACAAAAATAAACAGAGAAAACAAATCAGATACAGTGTTTTTTTTTAGGAAAAACACATGCTGCATAGTTTTCTGATGTATTAAAATTAAATGCTTTCAGATTTTCTTCAGATAATATTAGATGATCCATCATGACACATTTACAATAATAACAGTAGCAATTAGATGGAAAGAGTGTCATGCACAACAAGAAATAGAGAGGTCAAGTATTGCTGTCGCATAACTCTTCTTCCACATTTAACATTATGGTGGCTTAAACTGGCATGCAGATGTGGAGAGAGTCATACACAGAAATAAACAGTTGACCTATATCAGTCACAATGATTTTTTTGTATATAAAAAAATATAAATGCCACTGCCCTGACTTAAACAGCAGGGTGTAGATGGAAACAGTCATGCACAATGAGCAGAGAAGATTGGAATTAGAGATGTTTCAGAAATGTTTTTGTGATATCAAATTTAACATAATTTAATGATTATTTTATGTATTATAGAGGGAAGACAGATAAGCCCTACCTATAGTCGCACACAAGTAGGGAGACCGGGGACAGTTGCAACAGGGGATGGTTGCAACGTCATTTTTCTCTAATCAGAAACAAGCTAGAGTGATGACACTCACACTGCGACAGGCTCAGAGAAAAATCAAGGAGATTCCTGAGCTGCTCCAGGATTTATTGAAGAAAAGCTGTTTTTGAGGCATGAACGTATTTCTTTTCTTAAGCTTTGTTTTTGTTAAACTGTTGTCAGTGTTTTTGTGATTCAGCTCAAACTTATATGGTTTAAATGAGTGATATGTTAACTTTAACTTAAGCTATATGGTTAGCATGTATCAAGGTCACCTTGTTTAGCTAGCAGATGAGGTTTTATCTGACAGGAACGGGGACAGTTGCAACAATGCATAAATATAAAAACAGACCACATAGCAGTATTTATAACATTTTTTCATAAGTTTTTACTTAAAATGTTATAAATACTGCTATGTGGTCTGTTTTTATAGTTCATCAAGTTGGAGAAAGGAGGTGTATGTGTGTGTGTGTGTGTACGCGTGCAGATGTCTGTGACCATGCATTGGTGCAACTGTGTTTATGTGCAGAGGAGGACACAGTGAATAGTTTAATTATATAAAATGACAATAGGCTAAATAAAAGTTAATTGCCTCACAAATTGTTCCATTCTTCCTATATCACTAAAAGCCTACTGTATTTTATATCAATTTGAATATTTGACATCTGCACATAAGGCCATCTAGACACATCTATAATTGTCATCTAATCAAAGCTGATTAATAAATTACACTGTAATATTCTTATAACTTACATTTTTGATAATAATGATTTTGCTAACTCTGACATATTGTGACGATCTGCGGCTGGAGTGCCCGCTTGAGCCTCTGGGGGGCACTCCTTCCTAGTTTATTGTTTCCTTTATGTTTTACCCTGGACTGATTATGGTTTATTTTATGCACCTGTGTTTTATTATCTTGTTTAGTGCACCTGTCATAAGCCTGAGTGGCCCTTTGTACCATTGCTCAGTATTGTATGTGTCTGACTGCATTACCTAGCCTTGTTCCAGTTTCCTTGTATTCTAGTGTTTCGGTTCCCTGATTATCTGCCTTATCCCTGCACGGATTTGATGTTTGTTTGGACTGCTTACCTGGTTTTGACTTCTGCCTGTTTCCTTGTACCTATCTCTGGATTCTCCTCTTAATAAAGCCTGCGTTTGGATCACCACTGTCCTTGTTCCATGTGCAGTTTCATGACAGAATACTGAGCCACTACTGATCCAGCGGCTGAGAGGAACACGGACCTCGTTATGGATCCCACAGCCGCAGATCGTCACACATATATTGAAATATAGTATATTTGTAACATGTTGCAACCATCCCCAAACAATGTTGTGTTTGACCCAGGCCCCGGGGTCAGTTGCAACATCTGACTCCTTACATTCAAATGCAAATTGTGAAAAATTTAGTTTCTGTAATTATCTTTAAATGATTTAAACAGACAGATGTAAGTTTATTGTATAAACAATGGTTTGTCTAATCCAAACCGTCTCTGAGTGACAGAGCCAAATGCAAAAAGTGTTGCAACTGTCCCCGGTCTTCCTACTAAAGACTATAACACTCATGTTCCAGTGCATGATGTTATAGCATTAGAATGTTCAGGTATATATAAACAAACATCAATGCAGCTAAACGTTTCCATGATTATGTTACACACGGTATACAAGCATGTAGCCTAGTCCAGAACAGGCGCACTTGAATAAATGGCCTGCACACAGTATTCAGTATAGCCTACAGAAATGATAATAGCAAAACATTGACAGACATGCCTTTAAAGCATGTCTAAAGCCTAAAGCTTTTAGTTATGCTGACTTTAAAGTTCCATTCAAATGTTTACAGCTTGAGTTAAAACAAACAGCTGCTAAATATAATTCTCTAATAATAATAAAAACTTCTTTAAATACAAACATTTCTCCAGAACGTGAACTTTCTCCATTTTCAGGGGAAATAAAACGCATGTCATTCGATCACGTCGTTAACAATAGTTAAACAGAGAATAAGCATAAAGGTTATTAGACTACTTCTTAAATCACTCCAGCGTCATTTTTCACGTCAGCATTTTCAAGCTACTAGCAAAAATATTCTGGCTAAAAATGTTCATCCAAACACAAGAGAGCAGAAGAGCATCACTGCACAGCACACTCATCTGCTTGTCATGATGCTCGCGCAAAGCACCCCGAAAGCACCAAGCGCAGTGTTCAGTTCATCAACGGTTCCCGTTTAACAGACACACACAGGTCTGCGATAACTCAAACTATACAACTGACTTTTTATTCAAACAATACATACCGTTAGAGTTTGTTCAGGTGGGGGAAAAAATACCTCAGAACTCCAAAACTTTTATTTTTGAAAAAATAATGTTAAAAATACTATAATAATAATAATAATAATATAACAATAACTGTTCAACAATAAGTAAAGCAAAAATAAAAATAGTCCTATAGCCTCATGCACTAGGCTAATCATCGGGATCAAAGAATGTCATGTGCATCTATGTAGGCTATACAATTTACATAGCCTATCTTTTCAAATTAAACGTGTGTTTAAAAAGATGTAGTGTATCTTTAAAAAAATATTTACACTATAGACTATAGCTATAAGATTGATTATTTCATTGTTTCCTCATTTTAATTAGACATCAATATGTTCAATATATCTGACAACTGACAGACAAATACAGTGTGTTGGCTATTCAATATCATCAGGACAAAAGTTAGGCTATATTTAATAATCTATAAGCATTTTGGAGATCACAGATTTCTTTACAAACGAATTATATAAAACTTAAAAGATAATCGTGTGTACCACGTCCACAACCACAGGCGCCTATAACAAATGAATTTCTATGCACTTTTAGTACATTTGTAGTAGTGGTATCCACAGTGATCCACAGAGAGACCATAATGGATTTCTTATTCTGGCCTATTAAAGTTTTCTTTCCTTTCATTTAGTAGTGCAGTCATGTCATGGCATGGAGTCATAGTAAACAAATAAAATATGAATCTTATTTTAAGTGTTTTCTCATTTCTTATTTAATCTTATAAATCTTCTTTAATCTAATAATTATTACCTTTTTTAGTGTTTTCCGCCCTCTGCTGAACAGCACTGACGCGCGTGCACAGCACACTCATCTGCTTGTCATGATGCTCGCGCAAAGCGCCAAGCGCAGTGTTCAGTTCATCAACGGTTCCCGTTTAACAGACAAGACACAGGTCTGCGATAACTCAAACTATACAACTGACTTTTTATTCAAACAAAACATACCGTTAGAGTTTGTTCAGAGAATTCAGATATCTTCTAAGTTTTGTTTAATATAGCCTATAAGTTAAAGGTCTGGATTTTAAACACGGACATATGGCTGAAGCACGGAATGATGGAGATGAAGAATTTCCAAATGTGTCTATTACGAGGAGAAGAGATTCAACAGGTAGGACAATTATTACTGTTACAATTACTTCTCTATGTATCTGAAATATTTAAGATTCTGTAGTTTCACATCACAAGACTGTTATGTTTTGCGACTTTCTGAAATTAATGGTTCACGGATTTTGCAGACATCGGACAAAAATGCCACAAATTCCCCTGCCATTTGATTAGCCTACTTTTGAAAATAGTCCACTTTATTAATAATCAGAGATTTTCAATATAATATTCTTCACGCAAATGAACCATTACATTTAATTTTCTCTTTATTTTATCAAAATTATAGCATTGCATTATCATTCACTTAAAAAGTTAAAAACCTTTTTGTTTTTGCAACTTGGTCCCTACTTTTTGTCAACACTCTCTTAGATATGCCTACATGAAACATTATACAATCAATATCAAAATCATCCATCCTGATAGTAATCTTTCCATATTTTTGGTTATTTCTTTACGTAGGCTATTAATATCAAATTAGTCTTTTCGTTTTTTTAGACAATTTCTCTATTTTTCAAATCCTAGTTAAATAGGCTACACCAGAAAATATGAAAATTGGCTTCTGCATGTCTGAAATAAATTGTTAACACTACTATTTAAATTGTTAAAACTCCAATTAATTCACTCATTAAAGTGAATGCAGCTTTTGACAATATCAATAATAAATATTTGTCACATTGTTTATTTATACAATGGTGCTGCTGACCCATAAAAGGAAAACACATTCTGTAGGATTGAAGGAATTGCACCCAAGCATTATTGGCCTATATCTCTGGTTCACAATATTCAAGATTTTTTTTATATTATTATTTAGCATATGCAATTTGGTAATAACATTGAAAAATACCAGAAAGTAAAAACTGATCTGTGGAAAGTTCCTCTTGCTCTCCTCACCATTAGTTTGGGTGTATATCGGTGAGTCAGCTGTGAGTGGGAGGAAAAACAGCAGGTTACAGCTTTTCCCCTATGTTGACACACAACAGGTGACACAACTGAGGAAACATGAGGCAGCAGTTGTGCTTGCAGCAGCCTGTGTGAAAGAATACCACCTGTGCAGCGTCATATGTGTCTGTCTGGACAGTTGGCATAAACTGTCTCACATGTTGTTCAGTCTTTCATATGATTTTTTTAATGTTGGTCTAATGGTACAAAAACATAAACTAAGCCTTTAACCTTGAAGCATTGTTTATAGAGAAAAATATGAAATTGGTGGTCCTTATAACAAGTGTCTAAAGCCTTCCTGCTTTCTGCCGACCCCTAATCTCATCTACTCAAAGGCACCATAAAATCACATTTTTATATGGAATATTGCAGTATTTATTATAAAGTATTTATCCGTGCACATCATTATTATTATTATTTTTATTCATGTGCCCTCCTTATCTTAAATCAAAATAACTTTCCCTCTCTCTTGCAACAACATTTGTTCTCTTCTCTGATGATGTGTTCAGCGGCACAATGCGAGATCTGTCACTCACATAGCAAAAGACAACCATCCAACGAACCAGTCATTTCCCGATGGACAAAATCAAGTCCCAGCCTACATTTTTTCTTGTTTTAAGTTTTCTTGGGTTTTTTAGGTTTCACCTGGATATACAACACAATAGGGAAGAAAAGGCGATTGCAACTTCCGTTTCATGCCGACTTTAAAAAAAAATGTCTCTTGAAGTAATGATGAAATGCTCCAGTTTCAACATGTTCCAGCAGATTGTTATCATAGCATTACTCTCTGCATTGGGCAGCACCTGGCAGGAAAGTCCCGTTTTTTCTTAAAGTCCCCATCAATTCAAAATTGACCATACTTACTTTGTTTGCCTAAATTGATCGTTTTGTGGTGAACAATTCATCCATGTAAGTCAATCCACACAAAAAAAAATTTTTTTGGCTTCGTAATCTTTAATCAAAATCTGAAATTTCCCCTCCCCTCTGCATTGGAGGACCTTCCCTGATGACGTAGGTTTGACGGTTTGGGTGTCTGCTTAACACCCGTAACCACGCCCCTCCAACTGACAGTAGACAGGCTGAATGAAAACACCTACTTTTCTAGATCCAATCAGGTGCTAGTTGGGACAAAAAGCCACGCCCACTATTTTGCCTCATTTAGTAGGCTATTCCGTTTCTCTCAGAAATACGTCACAACACTGGAGAAAAGTCGTTTGCAACTTCCGGTTCACGGGGATTTTAAACAATTTTAACCGTACAATAGTTCAGCATTAGGCCTACACAATATTAGTTCTGGCCCTTGAATTTGATTGGTCGAGTGTTCTGATATGCACTGCTAGTGGTGGCGATTTTTTTATTGACTCTTTCTGCACATTACATTATTCCAGTAGATGGCGAGAAGTAACCGTCTTTGAGTAAACCATTGATTATTCACTTAACCAATTCAACCAATTAGTTGAACAGTGATTAATTCAGGGGAAAAAACACCACTACTGTGTGTTTTTCAGAGATGTGAACTATCATACAGGAGTTTTACCTACAAACATGAACACATTAAATCACATCTGTTTCTCCAACAAAATCAGTCACCTTGCCAATCATCTTATGCCTTTTTGCATCTTATGATGTTTTTGATGGTTTTTAATTGTGGCCTGTTTTTCTAACAGGGAAGTTGTGCTGTGTTTAATTTGACTGCAGGTTTGCATATTGTATTAATGTTTAAAGTTTTGTATGCCAGTGCATTTAGTTGTAGCTCATAGATAATCATTAACCCAACTTAAGTAAATATGGGTAAATGTGCTGTAAGTAATATAGCGGGTGTGAAAGCATGCATTTATATTTTTACAACTTTTCCAGTGTTGCGCTGACTGTAAGAGCATGCATTGCTTGTTTTGTCTTTTGGGAACGTTTTGTGAGATAGAGTGCAGTGTGACTCTTACTTTGACATGTTGTTTAGTCATCAGTGACCTCATCGGCCGCTGTGTCAGTGGCATTTCACATTTAGAGGACTTACATCTGTGCTTTTGCCTGCTGGCTTCTCTCAGACTTTTATGTCAGTATGATCTTTTATTTAATATTTATGTAGTACAAAAAATAATAATTTCACTTAAGTAATATAAATGTATATATATATATTATTTCACTTACAAGTAATATAAATGTGTATATATATACAGTATATATATATATATATATATATATATGTGTGTGTGTGTGTGTGTGTGTGTGTATATATATGTATATATATATATAGTATATCTTTCTATTCAAAAATATTTGACTGTGCACACTGTTACTTTCTGTATTAAAGGGATAGTTCATTAATGTGGACACATTAATGTCATCTGTCATCTGCTAAACTCATCTACTCACTAGTCCGCTTTCACGACCTCGTTGTGTTGATAATCATGATCGTGCAAACTTTATAACTCGAACTTTCAGAGAAATAAACAAAGACTGAAAGAGTTGTCGGAAGCTAATTGATGGTGACGTTGAAGTCATGAGACCATCTTTCGACTTCTGCCGATTGTATTTCAAAATTCATAAGTTGTGTTCATTTGTGAAGTTTATCACGATGAACAAAACATATAAGAATAATAAGCTTTTGTTAGACAACATACCTTATTTTTTACTAGTGTTTTTCATAGAGTTCAGTGATTTTTTTTTAAGGTTTAAAGGGGGGCGTGGCCAAAAAAAGATTGAGAACCACTGCTGTAAGGTGTGCTAGTCTGTTGTTTTCTCTATGATTTGGAAAGAGCTGTTCAAAGTGGATTTAGCTTTGCATGATAATGATTATCAACACAACGAGGCCGTGAAAGCGGACTAGTGAGTAGATGAGTTTAGCAGCAGCAGAATACAGCGTTTTTAGTCACAAAAACCCTGGCAGCAGAATACAGCGTTTGTCGACACCATTGTCAAAACGATCCCCATTCACAAGAATCCACGAAAACAACTAAAACCACTGTATTCTGCTGCCAGGCCATTAGATTGCGATGAAATACTATAGACTGAACACGTAATATGCATGTGCATGACGTCATCGTCTTCAGAGATTTGCGTTTTTGTTGATTACAGGGAGACCGTTTTCAAAAGTTTCCCTTTTTTAGGCACCCAAAACCCAGTTGTTGTGTAAACGAACGGGCAAAACCCATAAAAAGTTTAAAACGGTGTTGTGTAAACAGCCCCTCAATGAACAACAGGTGAACGTAATCCAATCAGAAACCAGAGAAACGATAGATAGATAGATAGATAGATAGATAGATAGATAGATAGATAGATAGATAGATAGATAGATAGATAGATAGATAGATAGGTTTAAGCTGTCATTTATGTGTAAAGGTAACTATTTCAGTTGTTTAATAGCATTTTTTAAGAACTGGTTAAGATTCTTTTTAGAACCAGTCAAAAACACATAACCTGCATTTGAATGGATTCTGTCATTTATCTTTGCTTATTGTAGTAACCACCAATTAGCAACTTGTTGAACATGTGAACATTTTTGTAAGTGCCAGAAATTCCATTTGGACCTTCTGTCTCTGTATACTGATCTAAGATCAGTTTTGTACCTTTGTAGCGGTTTCAGGACTCTTTTAAGTGAAAGCTGGTCCTAGATCAGGACGAAATCCAAATCATCTTCTATATCACAGTGATAAAGCTGATGGTTTTTTCTGATATCAGGATGTAGTTTGTTAAACCAATGAATCGCTCAAGGATAGCAGGCAGAAATATTTGACTATTGTTAATGTCAAAAAAGAAATACTTCCTGATTGGCCGCATTCCTGCATGGCACACTGGCTGTGTCAACATACCTAATGAAAAAAAGAGACGTCACTTTTACCGGGAGTTGTCCTTCCTCACAGACACATTTTAATCAGAAGGTGGGACTGTCTGAGTCACTTATATTCTCTGCAAAATATGCAGGTAGGACTGTATATTTCCTATTAAAGCTTGCTGATAAGTAATGTATCAGATTGCAGCTATGTATCATTTACATTTTTAAACTTGACTTGTAAATAATACAGTGATTGAAATGATTTGATAAACTCAAATCAAATTACTTCACCAATGCTATTATGAATGAGGTAGGCTATTTCACTTTCTCATACTTTAACACACAAGAGCAGAAACTGAATCCAGCAGGTCTGGGGACAGTGATGGGTCAGTAGGCAACTGCAACAAATACGCACAAAGACCCCTTTGCCGAAGCAGTCATTATGTTTTATGACTTCACTCTCATTACCTGAGGAAAGTTAAACATTCTCTATGAATGCTTGATGTTGTTGGGAGAAACGAGGATCCTACTTTTGTATAGTGTAGTCAAATATGCTGGTCTTGTTCTATTTGTAGTTTCATATAAGCTTTAATAAGGTGTTAAAAGTTACTATATGCTCAAAATGTGTTCAAAAATTAAAAAGGAGGCACCAAATGAACCTGCTTTACTGAAACCATAACCTGCTGCTCAACTGGGCCTGAGTGATGTGAATGCGGAGCGTGGTTTCATGAAAAACTGCGCTGTTAGCCTCCAGTTCTCTCCTAAGCTCTGCTCTTTAAAACAGGTTTATCAGGAACATACCATACAGTTTAACCAGCCAAACAGACAACGTCACACTGCCAGCTGTGCCTGTGGCCTAGTCACTGAATATTGCAAATGTAGAATCACGCAGTTAAATAAAATTTGTGCTACAAAGAAATTTAGCTCATGCTTTGTGTTTTATGTTTTGCAGACCGCTCAGAAAGAAATAAACAAGAACACTTACATATAAGGTAAGATCTCTTTATGGAAACACTTGAGGCTCTAATAGTCTCTTTGAATTATGCGCTCTTTGCACTGATAGAGGGAGAAAAAGAGAAAGTATTTGTGAATTTGCTGCTGTCAGGATAAGCTGATTCAACATCTCTGAAATCTAGTGTCTAGTTTAGTGATACTTTGAATATTAATAATCAGCGTATTGTTAGAAATATTAACCAGTCATTGAAGTTTATAAATTCAATTTTGACCTCTTACAGTATGCATTACAAGGCCAAAATTATGTGGAGACTTGAACACCACATTCCTATGTGCTTGTTGAACATTTAACTTAAAAATTATTGCTATTCATAGTGAGATGGTCCGTCCTTTGACACTATAACTGCTTCTGCTTTTCTGAGATGTTGGAACATGGAATTTGCTCACTTTTAGACCCAAGAGCATTATGGATGTTTCTTCAACTATGGGGACTTTGCAACCTGTGGAATTTCAGACAATAAACTGTCTTAAAATAAACCTTATTTAATTTAACTTGTCTTCTAATGATGTTCAGTAGTAAACAGGCATCACAGGACAACATTGTTCTGAAACACCATGTACGTTTTCACCACAATTTCATTCATACTTTTATGATGGATTTTCATATTTTAAGATTGAAAGTCTGCATCTTGGGACAAGAATAAAACAATAAAATCTATACATAAAAGGCATTTGAAAAGTAAAAAAAAAAAAAAGTTTCCAAGACAGAATGTTACCTTCACAAAATGTGTGTGTTTGTTAGAGTTTTATTTATTGTCATTATAAACATCTATAACGAAATTAGGAAGTGCTTCCCTTAGTGCCGGATTATACAACAACACAAACAATGTTACATACGACACAAATATTAAACATATGATACAAAAATAATCAATTTGTAGTAAGTTTTAAATATTGCAGTAATAAGAAATATATTGCACTAAACCTGTGTGTTCTGTTTGTTTTTAAAGGGATAGTTCACCTATAAAAATGAAAATTCTGTGATCATTCTCATGTCGTTCCAAATCTGAATGACTTTCTTCTACAGAACATTAAAGAATATATTTTAAAGAATGTTGGTAACCAAACAGTTGTTTACATTGTACTGAAGAAAAAAAATCATCTTTTATTTTCGACAGAAGAAAAAAAGCCATGCAGGTTTGGAAGGACATGAGGGTTAGTAAATGATGATAATTTTGATCTTTGGGAATGGGGAGAACTGTCCCTTTAATGAAAATCAAACCCTGGGACATACAAGTGGCTGACAAAACACCCACATATGGACAATACATTTAGAGTACTCTAACATGGTGTTTGTTTACATAATAGTGTTGCTTCAATTAACAACTGTGTTCAATTTTTAACAGTGTCTTAATAAACAAATCACCTTTTTATTTGTAATATTTTTAAAATAACTGTTTAACAGTGAAAGGCCTGTGACATAAATCAGAACTAATGGATAGTTGTGCTTGTTTCTTGCTGAGCTAATCATGCCTGTACAGTGAGAGACATTAAGGGTGTGAATCGAACATGTCAGCTGGTTCTCATTTGAAACAGAGCTAAAGCTGCCTCTGAGAGCCTGCTGGTATGCTGGCCTGGCCTGACTCTCTCTCTCTCACTCACTCTGTGCTTATGACACATCTATTCAGCTATGCAGAAAGCAGCAGCTTTAAAACGTCCACATAGTCAGGAAGTGAATGCAAGTCTTGAGCATGAATGATCAAAGAGCTTTTACTAATGATGAACACTAGTTTTTGAAAGGGATGGCGTAATTTGCTGTAATGGATTCCTTTAACACTTCATATATCTACTAATGTAAGGTATGAACCGCATGTCTTTATATCTTTGATGTCTCTTCATTTGCATTTAATGCTAAAGCTTTGTACAGTGTGAATGTTCAACTGTCTTTTGTTTGCTCTGTGTCTGACACCGTACGTAGTTTCTATGATATAGTAGTATTGTTAGATCCATTTCACTGTGCTGTTGAACAGGAGGATATACTGGGGAAATGAGCAACGAGTTGTAAAAAAAAAAATGACATCAATTGAGATGTAGAGTAATTAAAACAGGTTTTATCAAGTAATAATGCAATAAATGTTAACATTATGTGAGAAATAACTGTCACCGTTATCTGTTGAAGATATTGTGGTTATAAAAATGCTAATTAGTAGTAAGTTAGTTGATGTATGTGTTGTTGAACTTGCTACCGTTCAAAGGTTTGGGGTCAGTAAAATTGTATTTAATGTTTTTGAAAAATGTCTCATACTCACCAATGCTGCTTTTATTTGATCAAAAAATATTGTAACATTTTACATTTACCTTTAATATTACCTTTAATATTAAAATAACAGTTTTCTCTTTTAATGTTTTTAAAATGTCATTTATTCCTCTGATGGCAAAGCTGAATTTTCAGCAGCCATTAAAGGCACAATATGTAGGCTATTTTTCACCGCTAGGGGTCGCTAACCTCTTCAAAACAATAACAAAGGCATAGATAGATGACGCAGTGAATGAGCGTGGAATCATGGAACTTGTCGTCATGCCAATGGATCTAATAATGTTAATGGGAAATAATGTTCAGGGATGAGTGAATGCATTCATGTTTTTTTAACATGACTGTGGTATGAAGCAGGGCGCGATTGCTAATGAGAGACAGATATCTGCGCCACATGCGAGTCCCAGGGGATATAAAGGAATGAGCAATGACATTAAAGTTATAGAAAAGAACAGAATTTATTTGAAATAGAAGTCTTTTGTTATATTGTAAATGCCTTTGCTGTCATTTTGATTTAATATAATGCATCATTGTTGAAAAAAAGTATTAATATCTTTCAACCCCCATATACATCAGAATGACGGCACACTTTTAAATGGTAGTGTATATGTTTTGTTGTTACTGTGTTCATTCTCTCTAAAATAATCCATGGCGATGTATCTTGTCAATATCTTTTTTTTTTTTTTTTTCTGTTCGCGTTTTTAGTTCAGGACCCCTTTCTTCAATCAAAGCAGCCTTTAAGAGAAGTGAGTAGGTTGTGACGTAAATCTAGGTTTATTTTACTTTCATACATGGTAGAATGTATAATTACAGATTGTAGTAATGTCATGTTTTTACAATATATACATGGTCAAATGTGTCATAAAATGCTGAATGCTGTCAAATCTTCCAGCTTCTGCAAGAGCTCTCTCACAACCAGACTACTCCAGGGAAAGAAGGTGAGCTTATTGTAACTATTTTTTCCATTTCTACACTTTTATTTATAGGTACAGTGACTTTTGTAAAGGAAGTAATTGGAGGCTGATATGCCAAAAGTTAGATTTAAACTAACATCTCTTGTGTGAGCAACATGGTTTAATATTTTGGAGAACATGTGTGAACTGATAGGCAACTGTGTTAATATGAAACCCTTAATCCTTCTCATATTGTCACAGTTGGGTGAAATAAAGTGCAAGTTGGGTTGGGTGCATGATCTAATCACAAGCAGTTAAAAAGTTTATTTACAATGAACTAAGAACATAAACAGAGCGACGAGAACTGACAATAAACAGAAGGAAACACAGAGCCTAAATACATTAAACAAACCAATCAACTAAATGAACATCAGGTGCAAACAATAATCAAACAATGAGTAACCTAGGACACTAACTAGAAGCAGGGAAAAGGAACTAAGGAAACTCATAGAAAACTCAAACACCGATAAAACAGGACAGAACCCTGACACAGATGGGCTGCATCCGAAATCTCATACTTCTCTACTATATAGTAGGTGAAAATAGTATGTGACAAGAGTAGTGTGTCCAAATTCACAGTATACTCATAAAAGAGTTGGCAAAAAGTACCTGGATGTCCTACTACTTCCAGCGAAGTTCTGAAGTGTGCTTACAATGAACAATTTACTATCCCATAAGGCCACAGGAGCGGATTTATGAATTGCAGTGAAGTGACGCAACTGACGCTGGTTGGTCACGATAATGACAACATGAATGTATTATGTCCAGATTACATTCATACTTCACACATTCATACAGGTCCTTCTCAAAAAATTAGCATATTGTGATAAAGTTCATTATTTTCCATAATGTAATGATAAAAATTAAACTTTCATATATTTTAGATTCATTGCACACCAACTGAAATATTTCAGGTCTTTTATTGTTTTAATACTGATGATTTTGGCATACAGCTCATGAAAACCCCAAATTCCTATCTCAAAAAATTAGCATATCATGAAAAGGGTCTCTAAAAAAGCTATTAACCTAATCATCTGAATCAACTAATTAACTCTAAACACCTGCAAAAGATTCCTGAGGCTTTTAAAAACTCCCAGCCTGTTTCATTACTCAAAACCGCAATCATGGGTAAGACTGCCGACCTGAAGGCCATCATTGACACCCTCAAGCAAGAGGGTAAGACACAGAAAGAAATTTCTGAACAAATAGGCTGTTCCCAGAGTGCTGTATCAATGCACCTCAGTGGGAAGTCTGTGGGAAGGAAAAAGTGTGGCAAAAAAACGCTGCACAACGAGAAGAGGTGACCGGACCCTGAGGAAGATTGTGGAGAAGGACCGATTCCAGACCTTGGGGGACCTGCAGAAGCAGTGGACTGAGTCTGGAGTAGAAACATCCAGAGCCACCGTGCACAGGCGTGTGCAGGAAATGGGCTACAGGTGCCGCATTCCCCAGGTCAAGCCACTTTTGAACCAGAAACAGCGGCAGAAGCGCCTGACCTGGGCTACAGAGAAGCAGCACTGGACTGTTGCTCAGTTTTGCATGTCATTCGGAAATCAAGGTGCCAGAGTCTGGAGGAAGACTGGGGAGAAGGAAATGCCAAAATGCCTGAAGTCCAGTGTCAAGTACCCACAGTCAGTGATGGTCTGGGGTGCCATTTTAGCTGCTGGTGTTGGTGCACTGTGTTTTATCAAGGGCAGGGTCAATACAGCTAGCTATCAGGAGATTTTGGAGCACTTCATGCTTCCATCTGCTGAAAAGCTTTATGGAGATGAAGATTTCATTTTTCAGCACGACCTGGCACCTGCTCACAGTGCCAAAACCACTGGAAAATAGTTTACTGACCATGGTATTACTGTGCTCAATTGGCCTGCCAACTCTCCTGACCTGAACCCCATAGAGAATCTGTGGGATATTGTGAAGAGAAAGTTGAGAGACGCAAGACCCAACACTCTGGATGAGCTTAAGGCCGCTATCGAAGCATCCTGGGCCTCCATAACACAGCAGTGCCACAGGCTGATTGCCTCCATGCCACGCCGCATTGAAGCAGTCATTTCTGCAAAAGGATTCCCGACCAAGTATTGACTATTGAGTGCATAACTGAACATAATTATTTGAAGGTTGACTTTTTTTTTTGTATTAAAAACACTTCTTTTATTGGTCGGATGAAATATGCTAATTTGTTGAGACAGGAATTTTGGGTTTTCATGAGCTGAATGCCAAAATCATCAGTATTAAAACAATAAAAGACCTGAAATATTTCAGTTGGTGTGCAATGAATCTAAAATATATGAAAGTTTAATTTTTATCATTACATTATGGAAAATAATGAACTTTATCACAATATGCTAATTTTTTGAGAAGGACCTGTACTATATAAAACATACTTTTTTAGCAGTCACAAAGTAAGTACTTATTCAAAATAAGTACCTACTCAAAAGAGTTTGCGATTTCGGACGCAGCCATGCTCTGCTCGTACATTCTTGTCCTGGATACAGTTGCCACCATAGACAATAATCTATTCAAATATGTGGTTACAATTTAGAATATTAGTAAAAAATTAAATAAAAACAGTAGTATTAGCAGAAAATTTGTAAATAGTCATTTTTGTCTTAAGATGAATATCTGGTAATATTCCTTTAAAAAATACTTCAGTATAATAAAAAAGTGGTAAGCTGATTTAGGACCACAGAATATTTAAATAACATTTATGCCAATATGAACCTCCTCATGTGTTTTATACAAAACCACAAGCCCGGATATATAGCTGTGCTTTGAAATTTGTGTACAATACATTCATACCTATTAAGAAGTATCTGTTGTTGTTTTCAGGCGTTCAGAGGTAACCATCCTATCAGCAGAGCCGTTTGCAGCCACTTCTTGGTATCCAGGGGAGTCTGGCCAGTTTTCATCCACAGCTTTCACAACACAACCAATCTGGAATGAGAGTGTTCTGACCTCTGTTCAGGTACAGTGATTTATAGCACTATATCCAGTTCAACAGCTGTCATTAACAGACAGTTGTGCCAGACAGGTGTGTGGATTCTCTTTGTTTACTCAGCATGTCTTTACTTTAACTTTTCAAAGCATGGCTACTTTGTCCCTGTGTTTGACAGACTAACACATGGATTACTAACTTACCAATAAACCATTGTCATTCTACAACGAGTCCAACAATGTAGTATATAGGCCAATTCACACTGCACCGACAGACGGCAACAGATGCTTTGTCAGGTTTTGTTGGATCAGTGTGTTACCCCTGTTGGCGTCTGTTACCGTCTGTCAGAGCTTGTTTTCACTGATTGAACATGTTGAATTGGCACTTGTCTGGTCATGGAATGTCTGAGGGGCAAACTGTAATCTGGTGATTGTCCGTGTTGGTCTGCGTCTATCGTTGCAGTTTGAACTGGCCTACTGTGTTGTTATGGTAACTAAAACTAGAAATAAAGCTGAACTAGCTGACGTTAAATAATTGGAAGAACTACAATTTCTTAAACCAAAACTGAAATAAAATAAAGCTATCAAAAAATAAAAGCTAATTCATAAATATTATAGTATTTCACAAGTTAATTTGCCCATATAATCTAAAAACTATTAAGGTTAAACTTATTTGGCTTGCTGTCTGCAGTGGAGGGGCTTGAGGAAGCAGCTTCAACTCGAGCTTAGATATACCCCACTGGGACAACTAATGCTTGGATGATGAGTGTGGTAGCAAAATGCCTAAATTATGTTGGTGGAGTTGAGGAGGTGAAGGAATGCCAAAACAGCTGCAAGGCGAGCGGCTGCTTATATGCGCTGCCAGTTAATTGAAAGATTAGATGGGTTCACTCCTCCCAAAATTACATTTAGAAACTTCACAAAAATAATACTAAAATAACACTGGGGGATATCTGCTCATATATCATTTTTAAATATTACCATTTTTGTACAAAGAAATTTCAGTCAGGATTCAAGGGCATTTTTAAAGGTTGTTATATTAGAAGGCATTTTAGAGATGCATCAATATTCAATACAATTATTTTCATGTTATTGCTGATAACCAATACATTTTCATAAAATATTCTAAATCTTTACTATTTGGTCTATAAGCAAATCAAAAACACACTAAAACTAAAATAAATAGTTTGTGCTGTATGTTGTATTTCCCAACATTATAATGTACAGTATGTAAATATTGGCTAATACTGATAAATAAAATACTGATATAGTGTCGATATTGTAACTAGTGTCCACTGGAGGCGAGTTGAAATGAACCCATGTGCAGTTTAATTAGATCCAAAAACATGAATGAATACAAGATAAACAGAGACTTGACTTGACCATGAAACAAACTCAATTAACAGCAGGTTACATTGAACAAAACTAGACAAAAAACAATGGTAACATGAGGGCTATTTATACACAAGGACTAATCATTAAACAAGGAACACCTGTGAACATTCAAACAATAAACCAATCACAGAACAGAGAAGCACATGACCTCAAACAACCAATCAGAACATGACACATAAGACTAGTGAAGCTCAAGGCATGATCACATGATGACAAGGGAATCACATGACAAGTAGGAACCATGACTATGAGAATTTCAAAATAAATGACATGAACACAAACAAAACCCAAATCAACATGCCAGATATATTGTGCATCCCTACTCTGTTCTCTAGGACTGTATGGTTTCTGCACACTCGTGACGTGTTTGCTTGGTTTGATGCTTGCGTAAGAGTGATTCCCCTCTCTCGTGCTTCAGCTCCCACCATCCTATGAGCAGGTGATCAAGGAGAAGACCCAGGAGCAGGTTACCACACCTTCACCACCTCCACAACACTTATACACAACAACTATTGCCACACAGACTGACTCACTAGAGGAGAATGCCACAGGTCCAGATTCTGGCACGTCCCTGCTGCTGAACCGGGTGCAGCCCAGTGGACGTTAGTCTGTACTGACAAGATTTAGAGTGCACAAATCGATGTGAACCATAAACTGATACTCAATGTTTGGTCTTTACTGTTTCAGCAAAGCAGCCAATAAAACCACCTCGGCCATCATTGCCTAAACCCAAACCCATTCCGCAAGAAACTCAAACCAGGTCCCCAACATCCACTCCCAACTCCCAACCCGTCGTCGATATAGCCCCAGCCCCACGCCCGGTTCCTCAGCCTCGCTCCAAAACGAAACCCCTGAGTCCAACCAACCACGTCAATGTGCAACCTCTGATAGCACTGCAAGACAGCTGGGACGTTTGTCCTATACCCTCTGAGGAGAATTCTGATTCCCATTCAGGAAAGTATCTGAAGGATCTCTTAGATGTCTTCAGCTCCGAACCTCAAAGTGAACTGAGTAACCCTGTCAACATTCAAAGAGAGCAGACGAACCAAACTAAAGAGAACCAAAGCGAGAACATGACCTCCCTCCACAGCGACCGCAACATCCGATCAAGAATCCAGGCCTTTGAAAGTCAATCTAGCGCAGAGAATAATGAAACCTTTGTGCCTTCCCCCCGTCCTCGAAACATTTACACCAAACCACCTGTGCTGGCACCAAAACCCTCCATTACCCCTCGTCCTTCTGTCAAAAAGCCCAAAGAAGAGGAGTTTTTACAATATGACAGTCATTTATACGAAGAGGTCAGTGCACCACCTATGCCAGCTCCAAGACCTCAGCTTTTCAAAAAACCGTCCTTCAACTCAAGAGATGAGTCTGACTCTCAGCCTCCCTTCAGGATGGCCCTCATTCCTCCATCGCGACCTTCATTGGTCAAAGTTAAGAATCTAAGTTCCCAGGATGAGGAAGTAGTATTGAAAGGACCTCCCCCGCCACTCAAGCCCAGCAAAGATCTGTTGAACCTCAACAACCACAACTCCACTGCACTTCTGTCTAACATCACATCCACAGCGAACATGCTAAACAATGACTGTGTGGATGCTGCCATTAGTAAGTTTTAAGGACCACAATACAGGTATTGTGTGTATACATAAATTGAGTAATGCAGATAATTAATATATCCCTGTCACAGACCACTCTCCCACTAAAACTGCCTATCAAGGGGGATTCACCTACATAGGATCAAGCATGCAGGGAGTGACCAGGAGACCCACAGTCATCAGAGTCCCCAGTAAAACAGAAAAAAGTGAGTCATTGATAGCCAATGTATTTTTATGTGAGGAGCTATTTAAAAGTGCCTATGTGCTTTTAATACACATTCAAATATATATATATATATATATATATATATACTGTATATATGAATGGCCCTATGATTGAACCATACAACATAGTGACCATGGCTGTCAAGCTCCAAAACTCCTTGTGTTGTACTGTTTGTAGTTCATATATTCTGAGTCTTCTGAAGACATATGATACCTTTGTGTGAGGAAAAGACTCGCATTTAAGTCGCTATTCAGTCATAATCTTCCCCTTTGCTGCAGCTCTTAAATCTTAAATCTTACCCATTCCATTATTGTAAGGTGTGTGGCTGTAAGCACGTGACGGAGGAGATTCAGAGCAGTAGCAGTCTTTTAATAAATTCAACAGAAACATGTAGGAAAACTCAGGAGCTAGAATAATCCATAATCACGTAAAGCAAATGCGACGGAACACTGACCAAAGGAAAATAAGGACAAGGGACAGCTAATGAACTGAACAGAAACAGGTGTGTAATTAATTAGGAGCTATGGAAACTTATAAAAACAGGAAAAACAAAACACAATGATAGTAAAACAGAAATATATTGGGGTGCGTTTCCCGAAAGTATCGTTAGCCAAATATAGTCGCAAGTTCCGTTGTTGTCATAGTTGGCATTGTTGGCATAGTTCAACGAGTCAGTGTTTCCCGAAACCATAGTTACAACGAACATTCGCAAACAGCATTGCAAAGTTGTGTGGTTGGAACTACAGCTGTGGTTAGAAGCATAGTTTTTTGTTTGCATGACATTTCTTTTATTTTTAATATATACAAATGTCATTTACTTCTTTTAGTTTGTCAAGATATTTAAAGCACCGTTTTTTTAAACCGCATGTGCGGACATGGTCTAGTACGTAAGAATGCGCCTATGATTGAATCTGGAAATAAAGCAAAATAACTAAGAAAAAGATGTCCATAATTTAGAGCAAAATAAATCAAGCATTAATTAAATCTCAAATGGATTAATTAAAATAAGTTATTACTCAACCACCTGCATGACATTATTAACCAACGTGGTTGAACGACAAATTTGCGACAGTACGGTTTCAGGAAACAGTCGTGACTAGCTAGTTGATTTCTTCTGCAATGCATCGTACTATGGTAGTTAAGCATAAACAGAACCATTACAATTATGCAATGTTCAGTTGTACTTAATAGGAATGGAAGCCCAGCATGCTAGACGTGCACAGGGTTTAAATGTATAAATGTAAAGCTTGTATTTCTATTACATTAATTCCTCAGTTAAAAAAAGTTTGAGATCTCTTTTTTTTTTTTTTTTTTTTGAGGATGGCTTTCTTCATGTTAAAGATGTCCCTGTCATGAACAATTCCAATTGGCCATTGAATCAATTTAGCCTTAGACAGATGTACTAATAGTTCAAAAGTTTTTGGTAAGTAAGATTATTTTAAAAAGTATTGTATGCTCATTAAGGCTGTATTTATTTGATCAAAAATATTTTAAAATAAAATTCACTTTTGTCATCACAGAAATAAATTACAAGTAGTCATGATTAGTCAAACTCTTTGATGTCACATGATGCTTCACAGATCATTCTAATATGCTCATTTGGTGATCAAGAAACATCTCTAATTATTATTAATGTTGAAAACAGTTGTGCAGCTCCCCTGCACCCCCCCCCAAAAAAAGTCTTAACTGACCCCAAACTTTCGAACAGTACTGTATGTGCTTCAGTGTAATGAATGAAGTAATCAAAACTTAATATTCTCTATAAAAATATGATGCATTATTGCATGGTAAGTGAATGGATTTCTGCTTTTCAGACCCTGAAGAAATGGCAGATTTTCCTCCTCCTTTACCTGTACAAAAACCTGTGGGCGGCCCACCTCCACCTGCTAAACCCGCTCGCAAAGTAAGACCTTATAAACCTACAACAGCTGTGCAACAAGCACTAAAGCAGTGGGCGATTAGGATAAAATGTGGTTTTAAAATGTCACCAGAGATGTCAAATAGAGCAGAATGGAATAATTGAGACTTTTCTTTGTTTTTCTTGTCCACTTTTTCCTCCTGTCTAAAACATATTCTGCAAGTATGTGAATACAGATGCTTCTAGCTATGTAGTGTATGCTCGATTTTGGGTATTATGTGTTACATTCTCATTGCCAAGTATGGACTCACTCTATAATGGACAAAAGCGTAAAAACGTTTCCTACTTAAAGTCAGCTATTGTCATTAAGAAGCAACAGTTTAAAAATAATCTTGCTGAACAAATTCGATCTTATAAGTAATGTTTACATCTATAACAATATTATTTTATTCTAGGATTTATACTGTATTTACATTGTTACTGTATAAAATATGTCTTGAAAGAAAACAGTGACTTCTCACTGTTTAAGTGAATAACAGTGACATTGAATATTAACTTTTTGATCATGATTTGTCCCCTCAGGACTCCTTCAGTTTCTCATCTGACATGTCTCTTCCACCACGGTAACTGAATCCTGTATTTATTCACAGCTGTCCTAATATCGGTTTCTCAACCTTATAAATGTGCCTTTATGCGTTTTTCTTTTCATGGATATTTGAATTGATATTTGATATTTGCAGTATAAGCCAGTGAATAAAGAGTTTCAATGCTGACAACATGTGAACACTTCTGGTACTGTGCCCTTAAATTCTGTGTAAATAATATTTCAGGCCCAGTGGAGGAAAGGTTCTGCCTCCTCGCCCACCACCAGCTAAAACAGGCCCGGGAAGACCGCCTCCTCCACGAAAAGATGGCTCCCAACGTCGGCCCTCAGATCCGGGACTTTCACAAATAGTCCCAGCAAAACAACAGCAACCTCAATGGCAGCAACAAAACCGCAGAGCTTCGAAAAAGGGACCTGCTCTACCGCCTAGACCCAACCCTGGACATCGTCTTTACAACAAATACACAGTGAGATGTTATTTTACTTGCATATTTTCTTGATTGAAAGCCACACTATGCAAATGTTTGCCTTCTAATGGTTAAAAAATAAAACATTGTTTTGGTTGTGCTTTGCCTCTGCGCAGAGGAATGTTGTTCACGGCACCAGTGTACACATGGAAATCTAAAAGAGATGTAATCTGAGCAGGTTCCATATCTTACGCTCTTGTTTTTGACTTAATAAAGTCTTGATAAATAAATCACGTAACAAAAGTCTACATTTAAAGTCATCATGAAACGGAAAGTGCCTAGTGCGAGACTTGATCTGGGTTGGATTTCCTGATAACGTTGTCTCTTAGCACATACCTCAGGAAGTTGCTTAAGATATACCTTCTTACATGCGACGTTACCAGGTGCTGTCCATGGCGATGGTGCTGAATTTGTTGATATCGATGACTCGAGAATCAATTATGGTAACACTTTACTTGAAGGGGTGTACATAAGACTGACATGACACCTTCATAACCATGACATGACATATGTCATGAATATGAAGTAGGGTTTATGCATGTTTATGACAACTGTCATTAAGTGTCTTTCGCTCAATAATGACATTTTGAATGCAAATATGACATTGTTTAAGATGTCTTTGTTATGACACCTTGACATAAACCATAACATAACCTGTCAGTGTCTTTGTCATGACAACTTGAAATTAAATTAAGTTAAACTGTCATGTGGTTGGTTTTGACATTGGCTGCCATAAGGCCATTATAACTGTGTCATGAATATTTTTCGTGACCTCAACTACAGTGGTACAAATTGAATTTGTCATTAAACCGTTATAATGGCTTCATGACAGCCAATGTCAAAACCAACCACCTGACAGTTTAATGTAGTTAACCAATAAAGCTAAGTGGTTTCTTAAGTTTGATAATTAATCTGCTATGTCATGTTTATGACAGGTTGTGTTGTCTTAGTAATGTCAAGTTGTCATGACAAAGACACTGACAGGTTATGATGTATTGGTTTATGTCAAGGTGTCATAACAAAGACATCTCAAACAATGTCATATTTGCATTAAAAATGTCATAATTGAGCGAATGACACTTAATGACAGTTGTCACAAACATGCATAAAACTTCCTTCATATTCATAACATGTGTCATGTCATGATTATGAAGGTGTCATGTTAGTCTCATGCACACCCCTTCAAGTAAAGTGTTACCTCAATTATTCACTCGTGCAGGGGCTGCTTCACGAGAAAGCGGTGTTCTTTATAAAAAAAACACTTCAGAAATAGTTGAAATTGCATTTATTAGGACTCATGGGATATTATAAAAAATAATCCAAACTATAATGAGATCGTTGCAAGTGGGAGGGAAAGTTATTTTGATTTAAGATTATTAGGGAACATGAATTAAAAAAAGAATAATGGTGTGCACGGATAAATCATTTAGAAGCAATATATTCCCTAAAAAACATCAAAAATGGTCAACTTAGATTTCATGGTGACTTTAAAGGAACACGCCGACTTTTTGGGACTTTAGCATATTCACCGTATCCCCCAGAGTTAGATAAGTCCATACATACCCTTTTCATCTCCGTGCGTGCTGTAACTCTGTTTGACTTTCCCACCGCTAGCCTAGCTTAGCACAAAGACTGGAAGTAAATGGCTCCAGCTAGCATGCTGCTCCCAATAATAAAATATATTCTCAGAAGGCGAAGCACTGCTACTTGGGCGGAGTAGTAGCCGTCCAAGTACCAGTGCTTCGCCTTCTGAGAATATAGTTCCCAGTATGTATACGGTTAAAGGATGACTGTGTCTCATATGACCTTGTTATTTGTACACACTGTGACTATACAAATCACAACATATAAATAGGAAAAGGTTGGCGTTATTTTGTCACTTATTGGGAGCAGTATGCTAGCTGGAGCCATTTACTTCCCGTCTTTGTGCTAAGCTAAGCTAGGTCTACACTGTTAGACATTTTATTGTATTTTTGTGGTAACTTACTGGCAGCACTATTGCCAGTAAGTTACTGTAAGTTCCCCTTTACAGTAGCTTACCTGTAAATGTGTTTTACGGTATGATACCCTTACTGTAATTTCATTTTACGGTATGATGCCCTTACCGCGATTTAATTATACAGTAAGATGCCATTACCGCGATTTAATTTTACAGTAAGATGCCCTTACTGCAATTTAATTTTACAGTAAGATGCCCTTACCGTGATTTAATTTTACAGTAGGATGCCCTTAATGTAATTTCATTTTACAGTAAGATGCCCTTACCACATTTTCATTTTACAGTATATTGCCATTACTGCACTTTATTTTTACAGAATGAAAAAATAAATTTACTTTAATTTATATTTTACATGAATGCTATTGAATTTAATAAATTCCCAAAAAATTGACTTGAGACCTTGTACATCAGCATATTCTTTATTCACTGTCACAATCAATTACATCCATTTTATACATTGTGATGCAACATTAGGCAAGGCAGTTTTATTTATATAGCACATTTCATACACTTTGGCAATTCAAAGTGCTTTACACAGTAAGGAATTAAAATAATCACAAAATAAAAGCAAGGAAAATTAAAGTTTTAATACTCGTTTTTCAAACGAGTCATAAGCCGTTTCATTGTGACGTCAAGATGAAACATTAGCATATTGCCCGCCCACTTATTGCGCGCAGACACCACGGAAAACTTGAACCTCAAACACTGCAGCTGATTCCTGTGGATGCTGGACAGCATCATGTCGAAAAGACGCTGTGCTCTACAATGTGACCGTTAAGCCAGTTTTTTTTTCACCGCTCAAGGACGAGCATGTGAAGAATCAGTGGTTAAAATTTATCTTTACCATGATACCACAGCAGTATAATCCTAAACTTTTGCTGTGTTCCATTTATTTTACTGACGACTGCTTCTCAAATCTCTGAGTTCAATGCAGGATTCGAGAACCGCTTGCTCTTGAAAGATGGTGTTCAAATACTTAGTTTTGAGTTTTATATTGTGTAGGTCTCCTGCTAACTGGTCTTACTGAAATACTTCTGCTAAGCAGCTGTGGGCCACTATTACCTAAAACTGTGTCTATTAATGCAGATTGTCTGTCGTTCTCACTACTTTGAGGAAAGATTAAGCATGGAGCAAGATTTGTTTTATGTTACATTAGTCATTCACGCTAGAGCTCGGCTAATGTATCCGCAGTTTCCATGTGTTCATCGCAATAAATTAGAAAAATACTCTGTAAATAAATAAGTACAAGTAAAATTAAAGCTGCAAGCAGCGATGAAAGGGCCCTCGCACCCGTGCCACCGCCACCCGGTGGCTTTAGGAAGACAGAGCACGGTGGGCAGTATGTAAATATAGGGGGAATATGTTAAAGTAATTTGCCCCACCCAATTCTGAAACCCACATCACATGTACATTTTCACCACTTCTGAAGTGTGTGCAAAGTTTCATTAGTTTTCGAGCATGTTTAAGCCGGAGGACTATGTCAAAGTCATTTATTTTTATCACACTTCCTGCTACCAGCAGGTGGCGCTATTACAATAATCTAATATGAGGATGGTCATGTGTTCAGGACAGGACTCTTATCACACATGTGAAGTTTGGGGCAGATCGGACATTGTATGCCTGAGTTACTGCAGGCTGTCTGTGGTTGCCTAGCAACATCGGAACTGCATCATTTACACAGAAGTTATCTGATGATGCATATTTCACGCAGAGGCTGAAATTGGATTTGCACATCTACATTTTTGTCAGGCCGCCGAGGTCACATCCTTCGACGAAAACTCTAGATCTTCCCAATTTAACGTCACAAAGGCCTTAAGATTAGACTGACAAAATATTATGTGGATCTGATTTAATCTCTAGGAGGAGTTCGTTAAAGTACAACATCAGGAAATTACGAAAAATGCACAAAATCTAGGAGGAAGTTCAAAATAGCTCACTTCCTGTTGTGTTTAGGGCTATGCTCCAAGAGACTTTTTTGTAGGTATTGGGTCATTACATGTATGTACCAAATTTCATACCTGTACGTGAAACGTAGAGCCGGGGCAAAATCTGGGGGCAATAATTTACCGAATTTGCCCCACCCAATTTTGAAAACCATATCACACGTAAATTTTCACCACTTCTGAAGCGTGTGCAAAGTTTCATGAGTTTTTGAGCATGTTTAGGCCCTCTAAAAAGCGATTCTTTTAAGAGAAGAAGAAGAAGAAGAAGAAGAATAATAAACAGAGCAAAAACAATAGGGTCCTCTCACCATCGGTGCTCGGGCCCTAATAATCGGTTTGTTGATGGACATGCACTTGTTAAAGGGATAGTTCACCCAAAAATGAAAATTCGGTCAGTAATTACTCTCCCTCATGTTGTTCTAACCCCGTAAGACTTTCGTTCATCTTCGGAACACAAATTAAGATATTTTTTATTAAATCTGAGAGCTGGATCACTCCTCCATAGGCTTCTATAGGATTGAAACTTGCCGGGCCAGAAAAGTTATTAAAGACATCGTTAAAATTAGGGATGGGGCCGATCCGATCCAGTATCGGGTCCGAGACCAGTGTAATTCACGTATCGGATTTTCCCGTCCCAACCTGCGGAGATATCCGATATCCATGAGCCATGTCTGCGCTTTAACGTTGTCTGCTGAAATGACTCCAAAAGTGACTCCTGCCGGAGGAGTCTGCTAGCTGGCTGCAAACTGCGGAATGGATTTCCTGAACGGAGGCGCGGCTCAATGAGACACAGAGTTATGAGACACGCCTCCGCTCAGGAAATCCATTCCGCAGTTTGCAGCCAGCTAGCAGGAAAGCATTGAGCAGCATTGTGTCCCCTGTGGAAAAACTTCACACTGGAAACACTGCAGAGCAACACAGCAAAAAGCAATGTTTGCAAAGCCGTAATTCAGAGAGGTGGAACCTCCCTCGCGTCGGTCAACACAACGAACGATATCAAACATTTAAAAAAGCACCACGTTAAAGAGCACAAGTTTTTTAAAAATAAATAAGTCCTC